ATGGGCCAAACAGAGTATGTTGTGGCCGAGTGTCATAAATGGATTCTGTGTGGCTTGGTGGTTTGGAAGGTCACTGGTTCAAATCCCCTTTTTGGCAAAGTTATTTCACCATTGAGCCCCTCAGAATGGCCCTCAACCCCGATTACTCCTGGGACTGATTGTCCTGCCTCTCAATTGAAAATTGCTTTTGAAGACAGCTAAATAAGTGAAATGAAACGTAATTATTAGGGTGATGTCAAACCATGTATGTAAAGACAATGTCTGCAGTAGACAAGGTTCACAGCAGAGGGCAGCCTTACACCAACATTGGATAACAGTGAAGCACGATATCCTCTGTCCAGCAGGTGTCACTCTCTGTCCCAGCCTAAGGTCAGTACAGCATCCATCCATCCATCTATCTCATTTTCACTTGCACCGTTTATGAAAGGAAATAAAATTATTTGTGGCCAAAGTTTTTATAGTACTTTTCACATTTCCCTTATAATAAGCAAATTTATATTATGACACAATGCTTATAATAATGGGGTTAAGCAAGAAGAATGTACAATACATATTTTGATTACGAAACTGAAAATAATGAATTAATTGCTTTTAATTATACCCATTTACACTATATGGATAATATAGTATAGGGAGACCTGGCCAATACACCCACAGGAAATTTTATAACATCCCATTCAAAATCCATAGGCATCAATATAAAGGTGGTCCCTCCTTTGCAGCCATAACAGCTGCCACTCTTCTGGGAAGGCTTTCCACAAGACTTTGAAGCATAGCTCTGAGGTCAAGTACTGATGTTGGACATGAAGGCTAACTTTAAATGTTTGGCTTTTCAATTAGTTACAGAGCTGTTGCACTAGTGTAATGCATGATTAATTTATAGATATAAACCTTCCCAGGTTACTTTGAATGAGGGCATACACAGTTATGGTCTGAGGTCCTTGAAGATCACAGTGTTCACATTATTGTTGAGTCAGGCACTGATGTTGGAGATGAAAGCCTGGCTGACAGTTTCCATTCTAATTCATCCCAAAGGCATTTGATGGGGTTGAGGTCAGAGTTCTGTGCCGACCAGTCAAGTTCTTCCACACTAAACTTACCCAACCATGTCTTTATGGACCTTGCTTTGTGCACTGGGGCACAGTCATGCTGGAACTAAAAAGGGCCTTCCCCAAACTATTCCCACAAAGTTGGTAGCATAGAATTGTCAAAAATGTCTTGGGAAGCATAAAGATATAACTGGGTGAGCTCTGACCTCAACCCTATTGAACATCTTTGGGATAAATGGAGATTGAGAGGTCTTCACATCCACCATCAGTGCTTGACCTCACAAGTGCTCTTCTGGATTAACACAAAAATACAACTAAAAATGATGTGGCTGTATTTTGTTTGTGCTGTTTTGCATATTATAATACAATTTTCACTGTTAATCTCAGTAGAGTCCCAGGGGGGTATTTTTAAGGGTAACGTTATCTGGTCTGTGATTTAGCAGTGCAGAACTTTTGTGGCTCCTGGTGCCAAGTTCCAGGGCCCTTCCTGACTGGGAACTTTTGTGGCTCCTGGTGCCAAGATCCTGGGCCCTTCCTGACTGGGAACTTTTGTGGCTCCTGGTGCCAAGTTCCTGGGCCCTTCCTGAACTGAGTGAAGGCTGCTCATCCCAGGTCCTGGGACCTTATCCCTGCAGGACGCTCGATTGCCAGGAGCAGTGGTGGTCATAAACTAGTTAATGTTAACGTTTGAAGGCTGGTGCATCTAGCCGTCAGAACATCTCATCTATATGGTGGCCCTGAAGTGCAAACACCCCGCCCCCCCCAAAATGAAAAACATTTATTAGTAGCCCCAGTCTATTGTTGTGCATATTAGTCTATTGTTGTGCATGTCAGTCTATAGTTGTGCATAAATTACTATTTTGTAATGTCTTGTACTAGTCAAACTAATACAGCGCAGGAGTATGCACAACAATAGACTAACATGCACGCATGTTTACTTGTACATACACGCCCTTTCTGACAGTTTCCTTACCCCAACAATGTCATTCCCTCATCTTATTAATGTATTTATACTCACACATATTTATACTGTTTAGTATAAACTAATAGTCTTTTTGAACATTATTTTTTACAAGCATGTGTAGCCTGTAGACCGCCAGGCATGGGAATGCCACTCAGTAGCTTGAACAAGTGCTCCATGGACTCCATTAGCAACAATGACGTACCGTTTGCTTATCTTACCTGAAGGTAGTTCAGAGGTGGGTTCAACATCAAGAATCTCTTTAAGCCCCTTACCACAACCAGTGCAAAATTTCGCCTGCAAGGTTTCGGGAATCTTTTTGCCACAATGAGGACAATACATCTTTGCATTTTTTTGAAACTCTTCTTGGTTCGCGCTCCTGTTATCTTCCTTCCTCTTAACGAGACAGACAGTGTGTCCGTCCAATCAGCGACTATCCTTGTCAAATACAAATGTACCAACCATTTCTGGTAGAAATTAATGTTGTGTTCAGCGTTTAGCGAGCACATTTTTCATTTGGGGGATGCAATTTGCATTTGGAGGGCATTTTCATTTGAAAGCGCGTTTTTCATTTTTTTTTGGGGGTGGGGGGTGTTTGCACTTCATGGCCACCACACATTTAACCCCCATAACAGTTTCTCTGACACAAATAACTGTGGTGTCGTTAAGTTAATGGGCAAAAATTCCCGCAGATACACTCCAAAATCTTGTGGAAAGCCTTCCTGTAACAGTGGGGGCTGTTTTAGCTGCAAAGGGGGGACCAACTTCATATTGATACCTATCTGTTTAGCAAGGTATGTGATAAAAGTTCCTGTGGGTATAATGGCCAGGTGTCCCAGCACTTTTGTCCATATAGTGTACATTCAGTGTACACAGAAGGACCCCAAATTTGACCTAACAATAAGGTGAATACCGTCATCTTCAAGTACCTCTTCATTCAAAGTGACCTGGGAAGGCTTATATCTGTAATATCAGCTGGCTTTGCACTGGTGCAACTGCTCTTTACTTAACTACAAAGCAACACATTGAGCAAAAGATCAATTGAGTGGAAGAGGCAAATAAATATTAGTTGGATTTGAGAAACTGTGTACTATAATGAAAACTTAAAAGACATTTCAATTCCAGGCAAAAGACAGTCGAAAATCATTTCTTTAGCAAGGGAAAATCTCATAGTTTTGTCATGGAATGCCACTTTGTCATTGTCAGACTGTGTTTGATGGTACTCTGTGTACGTGAAGGGGTTTACCAGGAAGGGCTGAGAAGACTGCCTTTGCAAGGTGGGGGCAGGGGACTGCCAAATGAGCAGTCGGTTGGTAGGAGGGGGTAAGAAATTTCCATTATATGTGAGGAAAAAGCTGAAAGGAACAACAGTGGTATTTTGGTTCGCTGTTGATAAGATACTTGGAGTAAGACTGTTCAAATTCCATCCATGAAATGCATAACGTATCCCCCACGAAGGCTGTCTCTAACAATGGAGAAGGTATATGTTTAAACTCGTCCTTAGACTAAATTACATTTGTGCTAGCTACTTCATTCATTTACTTGGACTGATGGTATTTGTAACAGAATGCACACTGCTGAAGAATTAATACATACATTTAGAATGGTAAACTTCTCTAGATACATTTTTAATCAATTTAGAAAGAGGATCTATTTGGTCAACCATCGGAAAGGTTCAGCATTGGAGGCAAATAAATTACATTAATTTGAGGTGGACCAAACACCCAACTGGGAGAGCTAATTATAGTACAATAGTATTGTGAGCTGCTGAGATCCAGGAAAGAGATAAATGCTATTGGGGTGGGGAGAACGACCTGTTGTCAGTACATTACACCCCGGGGGGTTACGTACATACAGTGATCTGTGAGCTCATTTGTCAGCCCCTTCCCCACCCCCGAACATATAGGCTGTATTGGTTTTGTATGTAACGTGCTACGTGTGCACCGTGAGGTGTCATCCAACAGCCAGAGCTCGGCCAGGACCAGGACAGAGGGACACAGGGGCAGGTAAGAGATTAACTTGCTTCGGCGTCGAATGAATAGATACGGCAAACAAAGGGTTAATCTGGTGACCAACAGAGACGCACAGATTTCATGCAGACGAAAAATGTTCGAATAACCGCCGCACGACTTTACATCGTGACGCAACAGAGCGTTGTTCCGTAAGCTTCTTATTATTTGAACTGGCAGTTTTAGATTCTTAAGCGAGAGTTTCCGACACGGCTGTCCGGATCGGGACCCGGATATGGTGCGTGCGTAAGTATATTTGGAATAACTTTAGAGGACTTCATGTTCTCGTGGTTATTTGGCCGGGTGACTGAGTGTAAGTTTGCGAAACGGCGTAATAGATTGTTTCAATGCGGCGATGCATACTGAAATAGCCTGCATTTGAGGGAAACACGACTTTATCCGAATTAACTGATCTAAAGTAATCAGAAGAGTGGATATCACTCAAAGACGCCTTCGACTGAAAGGGAGCATCGTCTTCGTTTTCTCTGAACATTTTATACGCACGTTCCACTCTAGTTCGTTCGTCTGATGATTTTGTCACGAGCCGATCGTGACCGTCACTTACGTTTCATGCTCCTTCATATTAATGCAAATGATTCGGCAGCACTGGGCGTATTTTACGATTCCAGTTTAACTTACGTCCCGTCTAAAGATTTTTTCCTGCGGGCGGGGGCGTTTATGTTGGATTTAAGTAGAAGTTCGGGAGGGGAACGTAGATGGAGAGGAGGTTCCCTGCTGAATCCTGATACGTGGTGAAATTCCAGGTCTAGTAGTGTGGTTAATCGGATCGTCGTTGGAGAACTGGCATATTAGACCGTGAGCCCTAGAACCTTGTGGTCGGTTTGGCTGTCAGCGAAAGGAGGGAATTTGGCGCTTTGGCTACTCTTAATGTGTAATTGGCTTTTTCAGTCTCTCTTTTGTGCAACAGTTCTTGTTAACCAGTGATTAGGTTTTTTTTTCCAGGTTTGCTGCAGTGTAAGTATGGGGCTCGTGCGTAAAGATGTTATGAAACCAGCTACTCTAGCTGGGGCATAGTGACTCTCCGAATGTTGTTGTCCGGAAAACATCTCCCCTTTCTTAAGCAGGAGGTAACTTTTTAAAATGTATAGTGTCTGTGAAAGATTAGAGAAAAGCATAATTCCGCTTGTTTCCAGTCATCTAATCAGTCTGTGTAGTTTTCATGTTCTTGCCATACTAAGCAGGTTCCCTCTGAGTACTCTGCTTTTGGCCAGCAGTCCTCTATGTCTGCCCAGAGATGGACTGGAATCCCATTCAGGGTGTACCAATGCTTAGTGTCCTATACTAATAGGCTACAGTCCCACCCTTATCTTTGTACGACATAGTTTGTACCTGTTAGCTAAACTAATTTGATTGTATAGACAGGGACTGACATAACTTGTATGTAAGTATGCCGTTGTGGTATATAGGTTAAAATGCACTGTAATCTCTTGTCACAACAACACAGACACTTACTGTTCAGAGGAGTGGAAATCCTTCAGTGGGGTATTGTGAGACAAGGGAGTATGTAAGGGAGATATGGGTGTTTTGCATAGGCCTGTCATTGGCTTCCTGATCATCTTCACCCACACCTATGCAAGCATCAGGGGCAATTAGAGCTTCCATTTGAGCTGATCTGCATTTCTCTGGCTTGGGGAGAGAGTGAGGAATGGGCGAGGAACCCAGAGTGAGGTCACACACCCATATGCCGTATGCATGGGCAGCTGGAAATGTTGTTGCTTATTGAATCCAGTTCAGGCTTGCGTGTTTAATTCAGCGCATTCATAAAATGTGATAGGGCGGTGTTGGTGTGCGTTGAATCCAAAGCAGGACCAGATGTGAAGGGACTGGTGCGGTCATGCCGTCTGATCTGATTGGTCAGTCTGTAGGGAGATGGTGCAGGTCACAGAGGGGGTGGGAGAGTGGGGGGATTTTGATGCTCATTTTGGCCTGAGGCATCAAGTGTTCCTGACCGGGGGGGTGGCTGCATTCTGGGTTTTTTGGGTGATGTGCACGGACAGCTGGAAATGTTTCATTAACCACACTAGGACATTTATATTTAGTGTAATTGACGTAGTATTTTTTCTTAAAAGTACAGATGTACGTTTAATTTTTTTTTTAAAAGTACACATGTTTTTGCACCTTCTAAGTGCTGCTGGATTTAATCTGCCAAACGGTTTGTGTCCATGGCACTCAACCAGTCTCCTTAATGAATTTTAGGGAGGCTCAGCAGACGGCTGCTCCTCCACCCACTTTACGTGGTTGTGTTTGATGGAAAACTGAGTTATTTCGCTTTTCTTCTACGGGCACTCCTTTTGTGAGGTGTAAACGTGTCAGTAGCCTCAGGTGACAGGTGTGACTATATTGATGCCATGTTGGTGTTGCTCTGTGAAAGAAGGTCACAGAGTTAACTGGGGTGGGGGCGCATGTAGCGCAGAATGGAACCTATGCTGCAATGGGCTGTGTAGCTGTATTTTACCACATTGCTCGGTGGTCACATGACTGTCTGGTTCGTGTTGAGTTTTGCGTTTATGCATGGGTAGGGTTTGTGGCTCCAGGCATAGTTGGCGCTGTCACATTGCATTAGATGTAGTCGCTTGATTCACTGTATGCAATTTAGGCTTTCAGTAAAGGAGCCATTTTGGTTGCGTGACCTGCAGGCAGACCGGAATGGGCATGCCTGCTGTGATGTCACAACCCATGTGGTCTGCCTGGCCCTCTATGGTGGTCGCTGGTCATGTGACCAGACATCCCGGTCCTCCCTTTGGCTGCTTTCCGCAAATCTGCTTTCTGCTTTCCACTAGCCTAGTGGGTCAGTTAAGGTGCTGTGGTTATCTCGGAAACTCTCCATAGCTCTTTGACGCAATTGTGCTTTCAGGCTTGTTGTAACCTCCACACTCCACGAGAAAACATTCCCATGTGCCTACTAGATGAGAGAGTCTCTTCTGACGACTTTGGAGGTGTGTCTGCTGATAAAGTGACATGTGCTGACAGCTCTGTGAGTGTTTGTTGGTTTGTGTGAGCGTGTGTTGTTTTGTGTGAGCGCGTGCGTGAGCCTGCCCTTCTGGTTGGATGGGGTGGCTTGTATAAAAGGGCGGAGCGTGAGGCAGAGCCCACTCAGTACGACGAGTTTTCGCTGAGCTCTGGGATGTTATCTGCTGCCAGGGGCTTTTAGTTGGTGGGCAGGCGGGCCTGTGTGGAGAACCGGCGGTGCCCAACAGCCTGTTGAAGGTGAGAATTCTAAGGGTCTTCCCCTTTTCTTAATCCCCGCACCACACACACACACCCATACACACACACACACACACACACACACACACACACACACACATATCTGGGTACTCGACCCATTCCTTGAACCTGCTTGAATTCCTGAAATCTTCCATGGCCTGGGATTTCTTTTTGGTGTGTTTTAGTTATTCCATTTTCACCCCTGAACCGCACTGCTGTATAGCTTGGTTTGTAGAATATTAAAGGGACCCCCCTCACTCCCACATATGTTACGCTGCCGACTTCTCAGAGGTAGATGTAGTTTATATGAATACGGCTGCTCTTGCTCTCCTCTCGATAGTAGTCCTGGGTAAGCGATTCCCTCAGTCTCCTCCGCTGGGTTAATGCTTAAACTCCACAGTGCCGAGTCAATTCCCCATCTGCTGATACTCTGGATCTCCGGACCTCTGGGCAGATTTCTACAGAATCCCAATTATTGGTCAGCTTCTCGAGCTTTTTGGAGCAGCTTTCTGCTGTTCGGTCAGAAAGCTCCTTTTCTTTAACTGAAGTTGGCAGTTATGAATCGTGGGGGAAACTTTTCGGTCTGAAACTTGCCTTAATGTTCCCCTTTTTTTTCCACCAGAGTGGTTAATTGGACGTCAAAGAAAGCTCTGTTGTTGCTTATTGAATCCAGTTCAGGCTTGCGTGTTTAATTCAGCGCATTCATAAAATGTGATAGGGCGGTGTTGGTGTGCGTTGAGTCCAAAGCAGGACCAGATGTGAAGGGACTGGTGCGGTCATGCCGTCTGATCTGATTGGTCAGTCTGTAGGGAGATGGTGCAGGTCGCAGAGGGGGTGGGAGAGTGGGGGGATTTTGATGCTCATGTTGGCCTGAGGCATCAAGTGTTCCTGACCAGAGAGGGAGGGGGCGGGTGACTACATTCTGGGTCTTTGGGTGGTGTGGAGCCCAGCCTCGCCCCAGTTTCTGCCTCGCAACACTGATGGGGTTTTCTCAGTGAGGCGGGGCTGATACGCTGCTGTGCGGGGGGGGGGAGCCTGACCTAGGGTGCTGTCTCCCTCCCGCAGATCAGAGCCGTGTTGCAGTCCGTCTTGTCGTGCTGGAGCCATGATAATCAGGCTTGGCCGTCTCACTCCAGGATACTTCAGGCTCCTCCAGGTCAGTGCAGCTCTGCTGGGGGTGAAGGCAATGGTGGTGATCGCAGTGGAGTGAAACATTAAAGCAAAATGTGAAGGGAACATGAATGTGGAGGGAGGGCCAGGTGTTCCGTCCCAGCCGGACCCGCTAATTCACAGTGTCCCTTTAACAGCGGCAGGCGGCGGGTGAGGTGCGGACTCCGCCTCAGGACCGAGGCATAAACCAGCTGGCTGCCCTGCTGGCCACCATGGGCCTCAGCCTGTCCTACTACAGCGCATGGCGGATGACGGAGACGGTACGCGACGGGCCGGCCGCCTGAGGCCCCCCCCTCCTGAGCCGCTCTGCCCCCCTGCTCCGCGCAGCTACTGTCGACGTGAGCACCAGGTGACGCAGGGGGGTGCCCCATTGAAAGCTGCTGGGGGGGCGTCTCCGCACTTGAAGCAAAATTTCATTTCGGTTCTGGAATTTTGCGAACATCAAATAACAAATGGCAGTGCTTTTGAGGAATGCCCCCCCCCCCTCCCCCACCATCTTTTAGTTTGTGTAAAGTGATTTTAATGGAGCTTTACTGAGCCCCTGGTCCATACTATGAAGACAAGACAGTTACTGGTCAATATTGAAATCGGCTGTGTCCCAGACACAGTGTCAGCCTGAGAGTCCCAGTCATGCTGAAATGAAGGGGGGCCTGCTCGTCACCAGGGCGGCGACAATCAGCCTCTTTCCTGTTTCCCATTTGGTGTGAAATCTGTTTCAACTGACTATTAAAAGCACATCTGCAAGACTGCGGAGGTACAGAGTCACACTACGAAGATTTTGGAAGATTCTGCATGGGTGTGGTGGTGACGTTTTAGAATGAGATAATATGATGTCTGCTGTATTATCTATATGTTTTAAAACTGTGAAATAAAGCTCTGACCTATACATGTGAAGAGAGGATCTTCGTGATCTCGTGTATGAGCTGCCCTGCTTTTAAAGGGCAAGCTTGCACTTTTTTGTTTGTTTTTGCCTCTGCGCATGTGCTCTGGAGCTGGCCACTGCTGCCGCGTCTTCCTGCATGGCTCTGCGAGAGCGTGCCGTCTGAGAGGAAGTGGGCAGAGGTGGGGGGTGGAGCCGGAGCTGCGGGTGCCAGCGATTCCGCCTCTCCGCAACCCAGGCGTGCCCTGCCAGTCTGTGCTGAAACGCCTGCAAAGACACTCACGTTTACTGTAGATTCTGTTTATATGTTTGGTATTTTTATTGGCTGGTTAAGTAGCTTTTAAAAAATGTAACGTGTGGGTGCATGTGCTTTGTGTCCATGGATGTTATTGCACACTAACAGGGTTGGTACTGCTTGGTGTGTGTGTAGCAATCTCAGATTTGTGACTATTTTTTAATTTACGGAATAGCTGCAGTGCTGAGAAGCCTGACTTTCAGGTGCCTCCGTATGGCCAGCCAGTGCTTTCTGGGAGTCACCCGGGGCGAGGGGGGGGGGGGGGGGTCTGTGGGCAGGACCCAAGAGGCGGCGCGAGCGGATGTGAGGCTGCGCGATGGGCCGTGAGCTTCTAAATCGCTAAGCCGGCTGGAACGGCAGAGCGATGATCCCATTGGCTACCGCTGGACGGTATTTCAGTTGACCCAGATAAGAGCTGCGGAAATGAGACCCGCAGTGGTGACATATGAGATGGCCAGTGTAGCTGGAATAATTTCACATTTGGGGTTTTTTGGTGAAGTTTCTTTAGCATTTTTGGCGATTTGAGGAACAGCTTGAACCTGTTTTGAAATCCTGTTTAACTTGAAGGTTCTGCATGGTGAGACTGTCAGGATGTTGCTCTGCGGTTGTAAGGAGATCCCAGAACACTTTGGGATCAGATGGGATTGAGTTTAATGTTTGTGCGTGACCT